TAGTAGTCCGAATATTCACGAGCTAAACTTTCTACTGATGCCCAGTATATTATGAAATTTATTATTTATTTGGTATTGACACTTGGCATGTTCTGAGATACTAAGGGAGAATACAAGATAGAGAAAATTTATGCTTTAAAGGGAATAAATTGGAAAATTATGAGATTTCAGATTTACTTCACTATAGATGTACACTTCATATTTGTTATGAATTATCATATTAATTATTTGGGCCTCTAGTAAGTGTCGATGTCGACCCCTCGTCACTACTTCTTCGGGGTTAGGCTAGATACTTACTAGGTACGCGTTGATTTACGTACTCATGCTGCACTTCTGCACTATATGTACAGGATCTAACATGTTCATTGATGATCTCCTTGGCGCGTAGGCGCACCTGTTGAGCAGGCTTTATGTGAGCTGCATTCCGGGCTACGCATCGCAGTCCACCGAGTCTCCATTATACTATTTATTTTATTTTGTCTTATTGCATACGGGACATATGTTGTATTATTATTATATTCCTTAGAAATAAATGCTCATGCACTTGTGATACCGAAATTTGGGGGTTACTAAGGATGGTTCGTTGTTGTAATTGAGTAAATATTATCACTTACTCAGTAAAATAAATTTCATACGATTTAATTAAGGAAAATTATGATTTCAAAATACAAAAATAGGTAATTAAGTTGATCAATCACCGTTGGCTTGTCTGACGGCGATGTTAGGCGCCATCACGAATTTTAGTGGATTTTGCATCGTGACATTAGTTGATGGAATTGGATTAAATTAGTATAGTTGGATTTGTAATTGAATGGGTGTTTAAAATTTGTGAATTTTGTCGGGTTCAGGGGTGTGAACCCTGGGTTGAGTTTTTGGGTTGACTTTGCGTATTTGATTCAAGATTTTAGCTTTATCTTTTGGAATTGTTTCCTAAGGCTATTATTGATGGTATTAAGTTATTTTGGCTAGATTCGAGTCGTCCGAAGATTGATACGCACAAGAAGGGCTTGTTGGATGAGTGATTTGATTTGCTTCAGGTAAGTATCTTACCTAAACTTGGTTGAGGCACGAGTTGCCTGAATTATTTGTGATAGCTACGAGCTATGAGTGGCACATATGTGTGGGGTTGAGCCTATATGTGTGCACTGGGGTTACTATTTTCATGCTCGTGGTAGTGCTTAGGCTATGGCATACCTTGAATTGATTGCTAAACTTCAAGATGTGATGTTTCTCCTATTTCTACCCCTATATGAGTTATTTGTACTACATTTGAGATTTCGTTGAGGTTATTCTCCCAAATGAACCTGATAGACTGTTATTTCATGATGAAATTGTTTGTTCTAGCTGAGAGAGCACACATTGCATATGCCTACACAATAGCATATTATTTATACCAGTCCAGGAGTATGAAACTTGATAATTATTGATCATGTACATGTAACCTCGTATATTTGCTTTTTGTTTGATATAAGTTGGACTGGTAGCCAGTGATCACGTTAGGAGAATTGTGATTATTGGTACGTTAGTTGTCCATGCGGTTGATATTATTATCACGTAAGTTATCCGTGCAGCACTTGTGTTTTCCGTGTAGATCCAGATATTAATATTATTAGCAGTGAGTTATCTGTGCAGCACGTGAATTGTTCGTGCAACACGTGAGTTGTCCATGCAGCACGTGAGTTGTCCGTGCGGTTGATATTATTAGCACGTGAATTGTCCGTGTAGCATGTGAGTTATCCATACAGCGTGTGGATATGGATCCATCCCCCTAGGGCACCCTCTCATATTTTTCTCTTGATGGTGTACGTGCAGATATTGAGGAAAACTGATCAGTGGTTTGGTACGGATATAGAAATTGAGGAAATCTAGCCGATGTTTGTTTTGGATTTTGCAGTTCATCTTTACTTGCAATTTTCATTTGCATATCATCTTTATATGTTTAAACATTGACTGAGCCGAGTATTTGAGCAATTGTACACACACGCACATGTGGTTCTTTCTGTGCTTTATTCTTGATCATATTACTATTGTGTACTTGCTGGATTTATGAAACTATACAGGTTATAGCAAGTATCATTTATAATTCTTGCTTCTTTTACCTCGCCGAGGTTTGTTACGATACGTGCTGAGTACATTGGATCGGTTGTACTCATGTTTACACTCTACACTTAACTATGCAGGTTTAGATGTCGGACCCACTCATTAGTAGCCGAGGCTAGTGGCGGAGTTGATTGCTGAGAGACGAGGTTGAACTGCATTCTTGACTGTAGTGTTGGCGTCTCTTTTCCTATGTCTTATTTCAGAGAGTATTGTACTTGGTCATTTCAGACTTGTATTTATGTATTAAAGCTCATGACTTTGTATTTTATCAGTTTCTTAGAGATTTATCATATATTAGCGGTATTTTGCTATATTGAGATATTAGGCTTATGTTATTTCTGTGAAATCCATTATGTTGGTTCTTTATTGTTATGTGCGGCTTACCTGGCAAGTGTGTTATGCGCCATCACGACGAGTTAGAATTTGAGTCGTGACAAATTCTTAAAGGATGCTTGAGTTTTAAGAAGTTTCTCCAACAACACTTTTTATCTCTTCTTGGTCTTTTTTTATGGGTCTATAAAGAACCCCTCCAACTGCCAGCATCATAGAGTCTAAATCTTTGGACTCCTCTATAGTATATACCACAAAATTAAATTTAGGTGTTAAAGTGTGAAGGATATTTTTTACCACACAGATATTTTTTATGTCCTTCCCGTATCTTCTTAATTGATTTGTAACGTCCTTCACTTTTGAATAAAATTCAAAATGCATTTGGTTTCCTTCATTTTTAAAACTTCAAAATTATCTTTTAAAATTTGAAGTTTTACCTTCCTCACTTTATCAACTCCATGGAGAGAATTTTATAAAATTTTCTAAGCTTCCTTTGAGGTGGTAGCATCTTTTACTTTCTCAAACATTGTATCATACAAACATTGGTGGATCAGAGTGAGGGCTTGATGATCCTTTTTCTTTGTTTTTGCCTAGACATCTTTTTTATTTTTGAGGCAAAACTTCCTCATTATGGGTTTTGCATACCCTCTATCTACAATTTTCCACATATCATGGGAGTCAAGAATGGCTTTCTTACGTAAAAACTATTTCTCATAATTATCTTTTGTGTGACGAGGATACTGAAAAGACAACGGACCGTTATTTAACATGTCTCTGATACTTCTCCATATGGGTATTAGTCAATTCTAACCTCACCATATGGGTATTAGTCAAATAATTTTTATATTTGCTACTTGTCATTAATTCGGTGTAGCTTGCAGCCAGAAATATTATAATTTCACAACCCCTGTCTAAATTTTACTAGGAAATTTATGAATATATTTTGAGTTCATTACTCATATGGCCACTCAACTATATGAATTTACCTACTAAAGTCAGCTTTCTTTTATTTATAATAGGAAAGTTACTTAACTATACCCTATTGCACTCAGAAAGTCACACAACTAAATTTTTCAACTTTTTCGATGGCCAAATATTTATTTTACCCTCTAGATTATCAACCTTTGTTGTTTCTTACTTTCTAAATTTATATCATAAACTTAATTATAGAACAATCAAATCTTATTTATAAAGTAAAAAAAACAAAAAAATAATAAGCATATATAATGTTAGAATAATAAAATAATAAAAGCAAAGTAAAAAGTTAATTAGAATGATTTTTCCATATTAGTAATTTTTATAATAACAATAAAAACTCAAAACAATTATATACACAAATGAGAATGAAAGAGAATAATAGCTTTTAAAACATATATTACATGCATGTAATACAAAATTAATTATTCACATTAGATGTGTATTTCATAATGTACGCTATATATGCTTGAAAATTATGCTCAATTATTTTATTATTTGAACATTATATGTGCTTACAATCTATTTTTTAGTTTTACTTTGTAAACATGATTTATTTGTTTGATAGGTAAGTTCATAATATAAATTAGAAAGAAAAAATAATCATTAAAAAAGTAAAGAAAAGACAAAGGTTGGTACTATAAAGAGTAAAATAGGTATTTTGCCACAGAAAGTTTGAAAATTTTAGTTTAGTTACTTTTTAAGTGTTACAGGCATAGTTAAGTAATTTTTGTGTTACAACAACATAAATATGATTTTACTAGATAATTTCTAATAATTGAGTAACCATTTTCTTTGGCAAAATCCACTAGGCAAGGTGCCTAGGGCTGGGTTTTATATATATCTCAAAAATAAAAATAAACCAAAATGTCAGGGGTCTTACAAGATAAAAATAGTAAAATTTGACGAATACATAGCCCCTATTACCAATGTTGAGCGAGGTACTCAACAATGATATTACAAAATGCAACCTAATAAAGCAAATAAATGAGATAAAAACTAGCAATTCAGCTTTGTGTATGTATATCACATGGTCATCCACATATTGTATAACATTCCATATCGTAAGCTCTACTACCTTGGCAATTCTTTGATGTGTCATCAGCACGCGTTGTGTCTTGTTCCATTTCCTAATCCAAACACATCCCAGTGTTCTCTTCTCTTGATGTCCAAGGTCGTGGAAAGTACCTCTCATGACTTGGTCGATAAAGTGTCGGGGTAACCTTCTCTTGAAATTTCATTCTTGTGTGTCCTATGTGTGTAGCCTCAATTGAAAGCTATTGGTGAGCATATTAGGGACTAGGATAGTAGGGTGTATGATATGAAAATCAAACCTTCGATACTTAAAGGTCTCTATAGCAATGTTATCCCTTAGTGTCCACGTTATCATCCTTGTTTCTATGCTTGTGCCTACCCTCAAGTCCCTTCTAGTGGAATGAGTACAATGTACTAATACTACCAGCTGAAAGTTTCTCAAAGAATAGGGCATAGTTACAATAGCTTCTCCTACATAATTAGAATCACACTCAATCCTCATTGTTTCAAGTGTCCAGCAATTGTGCACGAGAATGGGCATGCACTGATTGGTGAGGAAATCATGTGGACTCCAGCATTGATCTATCGAAACATTTGTTTGGATCCATTCCTGGGATATAGAGTGAATGAAATGCATTGGGGTTTTTCTCCACAATGCAACCATTGATCCCATTTTTGAATGCCAAAAGCCTAAGTCACCCATAAATGACATGATTGTCGCGATTAAACTCCTGTACATTCTTGTGTTATACCTCCAGTATTGTGAATCCTTTTCTTGTAAATTCATGGTAAAATTATTGGTGTTCAGATGAAGGATTGAAGCACTAGGGTCTTGGATGTCACAAGCCATCTTTCGATGACTGTATGTCGACCCTTGTATACTGGAGTTCCTCCTTGCTTCCATGCTTATGGCTACTACTAATACTCCTTCAAGGGAATGAGCACTAGGTGCTAATACCGCCCACTGAATTTGTATTAAGTAGTAAGACATGGATACAGTAACATTTCCTGCAAAAAAACAAATAGAGTTAGTGAAAAGCAGAATCATCACCCTCTCCTCTGTACAAATTTGAGGATGGTGTTCATGGATGTTTCCCCTTCTTCTTACACTCCTATCCTCTATTCCTCCTAATTCTTCGCAACCTTCACTCTCAAATAGGGACATTGTAATTTATCATCATTCACCAATCTTCGACCTTGTACCTCTAATTGTGTGAAACAGTCAGCCTCAAATTCACCTCTATCCAAAGCATAGTTGGCTAAGTAATCAGCCAGTTTATTACTCTCTCTCATAATATGTGATATTCTTATATTGTATTTCCCCATAATGTCTTTGATCTCCTCTACCTGTGTTGCAATTATCCATGGTACAACCCAAATTCCCTCCACCACATTCTTCAACATCATGGAATCAGTTTGGAGTATAAAGTGTGTGTAACCATGTTGCACGCAATACTTCAGTGCTTCTAGCATAGCCACAGCTTCAGCTTCAGTGTTCGTCCCTTCATGGATCTCCTTTCCATGTGCATGCAGAATATCACCATATTCATCTCTCAACACAAAACCAAAATAACTCCTTCTTGAATTTCCCCTTGATGTCCCATCAGTATTCACCTTCACCCAATATTGTTCAGGTAATTCCCATAAGACTTTAGTCACTTTCAACTTTTGCATGTAGTGCTCCATTACATGTAGCAAATCTGGCCATTTATGAGGAACATTTTGTAAACTTGATTTTCTTAGTCTTACCAGATCTTGTAGTGTAGATGAGATCTGGTAAATCACCCTACTTACTGTCACTGCCTCCCCATACTTATAGCTATTCTTTCTTTTCCAAAGTTCCCACACTATAATCAAAGGTAAAGCCTGGAGTATAGACTTTAATCTAGGTACCACCTGAGCTGCCCAACATTTTAGAATTGTCTGCTGCATCAACAATCCTTCCATATTAATGCCTGCATTTGAGAGAAAGTACTGCCATACTGTCTTAGCTGCATATGATCTAAATAGTACATGTGACATTGTTTCCTCTGATGGATTAATACAACACTAACATTTGGATGGCATGAAATATCGCAGTATTCTAACATAGTCATCAAAAGGTAACTTGCCTTTCCAAACCTTCCACATGAAGAAGGCTATCTTAAAAGGCAAACCTCTCACCCATATATTTTTGTAAGCAACACTAGAATCTCTTCTCCTTCTAATATAGTCCCAGGCAGTTTTAACAGTGAAGTTGCCCCTAGTATCCAACGTCCAGTATAGTCTATGAAATTCATTATGTAGTACAGGACGTTTGATGTTCTCAGTTACATGAAGTGCTAGCTCTTGAGGAAGAATATCCAGTAGCCTACCTTCATCCCACGAGCCATCTACTATCACATCATATACGTTGTGGATAGATTCATCACAATAGAAGTCTGGAGGAGTAACAAAGTACAATGATCCCAAGCCTGTCCAGTTATCAAACTAAAATAGTGAAGAACCTATCCTTGGTTGCTGTATTATTTTGTGTTGAATCTCATCCCTACATTCAAGCATCTTTCTCCACACATGAGATCCATTTCTCCAAGGAACCACCAATGCATTCAATATTTTGCAATATTTTTGACTCATGAATGCGCTCCACAAAGTGGGTTTTATTCTAAAGTTCCACCATAGTTTACAAAATAAGGCTTTAGACACGTCATGTAATGATCTAAATCCAACCCCTCTTTCTTCTTGTGGCAAGCACAATATGTCCCATGATGCCCAATATTTAGCTCTTCCTCCTACTGAATTACTCCAGAAAAAATGAGCAAATAATTTATGAAGTTTATTAATAACAAAGGCTGGAGGGTTCACAGCTGACAACAAATGTATTGGCATACTTTGAAAAATATGTGAAATCAATACAGCCCGGCCACCACTCGATAGAAGTTTACCTTTCCATGATTGAAGCTTGTCAAGCACTTTATTAACAAGCCCCTGATAGTAGTCCATTTTTCTTCTAGCATAAAAGATTGGACAGCCTAGGTAAGTGAAAGAAAATTCCTGCTTGCCAATTCTAGTCACTCTTTGCACCTTGTTCAAAACCTCCAAACTTGTTGAATGATGCATATAGATTGCTGATTTTGCCTTATTAATTAATTGTCTAGAAGCTACCTCATAGGAAGTCAACACCTCCATAATTAGTTGTAATGAAGTAGCATCAGATGATGAGAAGATGATAGTATCATCAATATACACTAGATAATTAACCTTAGGACTCCACTTTGGCAAGCCAAATCCACAAAAGTATAAGCTTAGATGAAGAGCACTCAAACCTCTAGACATAGCTTCAGCAGCTAAAATGAATAATGTAGGTGACAAGGGGTCCCCTTGCTTAACTCCTCTGGTGGACTTAAAAAATTCATACGGCTGGCCATTAATTAAAATTGAATACCAGCTGTTAGACATAATGCCAAACACTACACCAATGAACCTTTCACAAAAGCCCGTTTTTCTCAACACTTCAGTCATGAATATCCAGGAAAGCCTATCGTAAGCTTTGGTCATATCTAATTTCATCACTAAATTAGGTCCTGCCCTTGTCCTTAACCTAATGTCAGTAATGATTTCTTGAGTTAACAACACATTTTCTACGATGCTCCTTCCTTTCACAAAACTTGGTTATTCATCTGAGATGAGATTAGGCAATAGAGGAGTAAGCCTTTCATGAATAACTCTTGAAAATACTTTTTAACGAAGTTGCTCTAACTAATAGGTCGCATATTAGAAAAAGTAGCAACATCCTTCTTCTTTGGCAATAGCACCAGATTTGTGTGAGTGATAAATCTTGGTAGTTTATGACCATTAAAGTACTGCCTCACCATGTTAAATACATCATCCCCTATTATATCCCAACAGCTCTGGAAAAATTTCCCAGTGAATCCATCTGGTCCTCCAGCACTATCCCCATTTAAGCCAAAGACAGCCCCCTTGACTTCATCTTTCATAAGTTGTTTCACCAGGTCTTGATTCTGATCAAAGGTTACCATGTCAGTAACATGATCAATGATCCCAAAAGCAGTAGGAATGACATCCTCATGGAATTGATTCTGGAAAAAATTGACTGTTTCAGCTGCCATTTGTTCATTGCCCTCGATCCAGTTACCTTCACTATTCTGAATTCTCTTTAATTGCAATCTTCTTCTCCTACCATTCACTTGTGCATAAAAGAGTTTAGTGTTGCGATCTTCATCCTTAAACCATGACATGCTAGACTTTTGTTTCAAAAAGTTTTCCTCGAGACACAAAACTCTGATAAGCTCAGCCTGAACTTTGTTAAGCCTTTCTCTATTAAGCTTTGTTGGATTAATTTTAAACTGTGCTTCATGAAAAAGTACCATCTATTCCAAACTAGCAATCTTTTGGAAGATATCCCTATACGTAGCCTTTCTCCATAGTGATAATGCTTGCTTCAACTTCTTCAATGTGTGATTAAAAATTATGAATAGATTACTACTAAAGTCTATCGTCCAATTTTCCTTCACAACATCTTGAAAGGTATCATGTTCTGTCCAATAATTAAGGAATCGAAATTACTTCTTCACATGTATAAAATCTAGAACACACGTGATTAGTAAGGGACTGTGAACCGATCCTATTTTGGATAAATGAGTAATCTCCACATCTGGGAACATTTGTTGAAACTCCATGTTTGCTAATACTCTATCCAACCTCTTAAAAATATAATCTTCTTCAGCCCTTCCATTCCACCAAGTGAAGATACTACCTTTAAAACAAAGATCATGCAAGTTACATGTAGTTACATAGTGCCTAAAATTATCTATCTCATTGAGATGTACTGGTAGGCCTCCAAACTTCTCTTCCTCATCCCAAATCACATTGAAATCACCCCCAACTATCCATGGGGTTGCCATATCATAAGCCAAAGCATATAATGTGTCCCACGGTTCAATCCTATGAATAGCATCGCAATAAACTAATGTAAGAATTACCTTCTATTGAGAATTAGAATCCACCAGCCTTAAGGTCATCTGTTGCTCCATATCAAATATTACCGTGACTTCATAATATTCATCCACAAAATGCCCAGATCTTGTTAGAAATATTTACAAAAGCCTGAGCAAATCCTATCCTTCTTTTGTATCTCTTCAATTTTTTAGATTGCTGCATTGGCTCCATTAAACCCACAAATCTGAAGTGTTGTTGTCTATGCATTGTAATTAGCCTTTTAAAGGCTTGTTGTGTATTCACTAATCTAATGTTTCAAATTAATGCATTTATCATTAATTGGTAGATTTTGAGAGTGTCCTTCTTGTTTGAACTCCTATACTGGGGACAGAAATATTAGAAGTTTCTTTTTGCTGCTTCTTCCTACCTCTGCCTACAGATTTTGCTCTATCCATATGCCTAGGAGATAAGTCACCCTGTCGAGCAACATTCTTGAAAATCTGATCTGTAGATTCCTTATCCATGTCTCTTCCTTTTCCTTCTCCATTCTCTTCGTCATCTACTGCTAGAGATTGTTTGGTTAGCTAAGTTTTAATATGTTTAGGAACTACTGCCCTGCTAGTAGATTCCTTAGCCACATTCTACATCATGGAAAATACTGCAGTTCATCATTTTCCAGTAATTCTTTGCTTTGGATGCTAGTGATAGGATTGGGGTTAGTGTTAGGATTAGGATTAGGATTTACTGTGGTGAGGATTTGGTCATTGTAATTGAGGCTTACATCAATAATAGCTAGTTTAGGACAAAAATTTTGGATATCAGGAGGTTTAGGCATCAGACCTTGTCTGGGCAACTTACCAGCTTCCTCCTGCTTATCTCCATCAGCATCTACTCGCATCAGTTCATGATCTTCCTCGTCTTCCACTAAGTAATGAACTCCATCTTCAGACTCCTGACCATCAATCTAACCATCAACTACCTCCTTGTCTAGTTCATCATCTGATTATAATTCTCCTTCTTCTTCTGAATCATCCTCTACCTGTTGACTCCATAATCTCCCCATCAGTAGATTTCCTGTAGGAAAACTCTTTTCTTTGTTCGACTGATCAGACCTATCAATTTGTTTCACATATGATCCTCCTTATTCATTAGTCACACTAGCATCAATTCCCTTTGAGACATCATTCTCGCTGGTCCTTGGATTGACAGTATCTTCTTGAGTGTTCAACATTTGTGAAGGGCTCTGTTGGCATGATTGATTAGTAGTAACATTGTTGCCTCCAAAGACTCTATTAACCCATTGTGTTGTGGATTCCTTTATTATTGATTGTTCTTTCTCCTTATCCTTCTGGTTTATACATTCTTTGCCAGTATCCTTACGAGCTGCAATCCCAGGTGAAGAAGGATTAGAACTTGGTGCAACTGGATTCAAGTTTCTCCAAGTTTCAGTAGGAGTAGGTTTAAGGCTGCCATTGATCTGATTTTGCTCCACCAAAGCTAGCTGATTGTTCTCTTCATTATCATCTGCATCCTCCACCAAAGCAGCAAATTTATTAGTCGTTTGAACACCATCAACGGGAATAATTTCTTTCCCACTGTTGCCTTGTGCTTCTTCTTGTTGAACAGGTTTCTTGACACGATTATCTCTCACTTCCTTCAATTGTTCACCAACATTACCAACAACTTTTTCACTTGAAAGGATCATTAAAGGAACCTTATTTTGTTCCTGTTTCCCAGCATTACCAGTAACTGCCTGCTTCACTTTTTCATTAGACTCCATTAACTCTGGATGAAGCTGCCAACATTCAAATTGATCATGACCTTGTATTTTACATTGCTTACAATACTTGGGCAGAAAATCATAATTGATCTTCACCCATTCAGTCCTTATCTCCCCTGTAGCCTCATTCTCGATATCCATACGAACCTTCTTAGGTAAATCTGCTAACAAGTCAACTAGGACCTTAACTCTCGCAAAACTAGGTCTAGTTTTGTTAATTGTAGCCATGTCAAGATGCAACGGCTTTCCCACAGCTGAAGCTAATGAAAACAAGCATTCCTTTACAAAGAATGTAGGTAGAAATCCTGGAAAGGAAATCCATGCCATAGCCATTGGTGTTTCTTCCCCGTCCTTGAATTTTGTATCTTAAATTAATGGTCGCAACTGATATTCATAACCATCCTTGTCTTTGACATAATAAGCATTTTTCGACGTAAAGTTAGTAAAATCTTCCCATAACGTCAATCTTATCAAGACATGTCGATCTCGAAGGAAACCAACACTACATTCCCCTTTGATTCCACATTGACTTGGGATAATTCTACGTAATTCATGGAGTTCTGGCCAACCATATGATAGTTTTCCAACAACTGCATATTGTAAGCCTTCAATTATATTCATGCGATCAACCTCAGCTTCTGTGAATTTGACGAAAGGTTTTCCATTTAAAACAGTGGCTCGTCGTAACTGTATAGGCTCGACAGTAGGTTTTGAAGTAGGGTTCGACTGCATGGGATTGTTTTGGACGGCAGGTTTCAATATGTTGCTGTAATCTAGGGGCTGGGAATTGTTGTTTGTGGTTATATTAGTTGGGGCGAGGGAGTGAGGAGGCTGACCAGCAGGAAAAGATGACTGGCCGCCGGCCGGAACGGCCATGGCAGCACTCAAACTAGGTTTAGACGTCAAGTTTAGGGTTTTTTTATGAGAGAGAAGAGACTCGCGATCCCTTCGGTCAATTTTTTTCAAATATAATTATTTGAGTAACCATTTAAGTTAGTGACTCAAATGTTTTTGTACATTGACTTAATCAGTCAATCAGTACGATTAACCAAGAACTCAAAACAAGTTTATGTAATTTGTTTTTTTTTTTAATACCCTTTTGCTTTCTTGAGGAAGAATGCATATCTATATCCTGTAGGAGTTCCAAATGTACGATAGTCTCATGAACTGACCATCAAATGACCCCATTGAGGAATTATCAAAATAAGTATCAGTAATTCATAAGAGATATCCAGAAAGCAGGATAAACTCCAAAAAAGTAATCACACTAGAAAGGCCAAAATGATAGCTATTAGACTGAACCTTCTAATACCACGAAAGAAGACTTTTCATCAGTATTTTCTTTTTAAATAAAAATATCTGAGCTTTTTATCTCTAGTGTATATTCTTGTCTTTCTTCTAATAATCCAATCAATGCTCCTAGACATCCGTCAGTAGCTTTGATGCATTAAATTTGAACTTGAATATTCACCATCACCCCTTTAATTACTCCAATACTAGTGTCCATTATATAAGTATTGGAGTAATATTTATATCGCATGAAATGTAATTTGCTTTCAATATCTTCTCCTTATAAATTCCCTAAACAAGTTAGTAAGTAGTAGCTAGTAAAATGGATGAATATTCATCACAGTACTCAATGTGGATGAAGAGCAAAACAATTCATGTGGGAGCTGGGCTTATATGGCCTCCAAGATGTTATTCCTGTAGCTTTTGTAAGAGAGAATTCAGGTCTGCTCAAGCTTTAGGTGGTCACATGAATGTCCACAGAAGGGATAGAGCCAGACTCAAGCAATCCCTTAGCCCACAAAACGAAGCTCTTTCCCAAAGTCATAGCAAGAGTCTTTCAAAGCGTCATAAACAATCCCCAGCTAGAAATTCGAAAAGTGCTTCTTTAACTCTTTCTTCTGCCGTAATTTCAAAATTCTCTCATCTTGCTTTTTCTCCTGAAATCAAGGAATTAGCAGCTGGTCAAAAGATAATGTCATCATCTCAACCAGATTGGTTAAATTCTAAAGCCGCAGTAAGAGTACTTTCCAGTACTAAGCAAGATTTTAATAGATACGGTGATAAAAAATTAAAGGGTGCTGGAAAAAAGTTTATTTTGTTGGATGATGATGCAAATTCTTCGTCAGTAGGCGTATCAGCTTCAAAGAGACAAAAAAGCTGCATGGTTTCATCATTGCCTATGCTCCATAAACCATGTTCGAGTCATGAAAAATATAGTTTCACTACTTCAGATTATAAAGTGGGAAACAGGACCAGTTCCATGGAGGATATTGATCTTGAACTCAGGCTTGCTATAGGTGATCCACCAGCCAAGCAATTAGTTACACTAGGTTTAATTTAGGAAACGAGAAACACTAATCTATCTCTTTTCATCTCATCATTTTTTTATTAGCTGGTTTTAGAATTTAATAGACAAAACTGTCCCGGTCATTTTAGTATGATGATTGGGGAAGTCATTCAGATCTTTTATGTGTTTCACTTATTATCAATATAATTTATTGTCTCTGTTAGATAAGATTTTGCGAACCATATCACAAAGAAATTAATTTTTGGATTGTCCAATTACGAACCTCTAATTTTCTTATGCATTAATGTCACATCAAAATTATGGGGTAAACATCCGAGTCGTCATTAGAAGAACTTGATCAATCACTTCATTATAACGCAAACCATCGCCTCCCTCCTAAACTATCAAAAATAAAAGGGAAAATACATAAGTTGTACCCTAAACTAATACATAGTTACATATTTTAACTATATCAGTGATCTTTTACTACCCCTCTTCCCCATTCTAATTTAAAATGGAACTAATGTCACGTGAGAATATAATACCAGTCTCAAAGTGTGGGGTGCTCTACATCACGATAGCGTCACATCAACTTCATGTCAAAAATCTTCTAAATTTTTTAATTTTTATTTTTTTTCCTTTCTTTTTGTTTACTCACAATTTTTCCTTTTTCTTTCTAATTTATACACTAATTAATTCCTAATTAATCATTAAAATTCCTCAATAATTAAATCTTCTTCATCACCACAAACCACCTTACCACCCCCCCCCCCCCCCNTCACTCTATCTCATCGGAAACAAATCACTCCCCCCACCACTGATTCCATGTTCTTTACCACCAAACCAATTGAGACAAATTTTTGTTTCCAATTTTCACCTTGGACATTTTGGCACGTCTTTGCTTGTATAACTGTTGGCAAATTTCCTTTAGAAGACTACTAGCAAATGGGACGGAAAGAAAAACCTTTTCTTGGGCTGAAAAGCGTGGGAAAGTATTGTGGGTCGGGGTTGGAGTTGGAGGGCGAAAGAAATCACTATCACTGACATTTAATCCTACCCCAGAAATAAACAGCTAAAGAACGACGCCTAAATAATAATAAACATTCGCATGGGAGTATATATAAATTGAATGGTTGCTTGACTTGTAGTTCCATTTTAAATAGAGTTTAATTTTTATATATTGATCGGCTGAAAGTTTTTACACTTTCATATCATCTAAAGTTAACTGCTGATAAATAAGTGTAATTAGAAATCTGGAAATTAAATAAGAAAAACAGCATACTAGTAAAAGTTAAATTATATTAATAAGTGTATGTAAAATTATCCTATCCTATAAGTTAAATCCTTTAAATTATCCCCTAATTAATTGGTTTCTAATAAAGTTCCAAAATCAACTTTAAATAATATTGTAAATTGGGCAAACCTCAATTTTCCTCTCCATGTAACTTATTGCCCTATTTGGCCAAGTTTCTTCGAACTTAAAAGCATTTTTTTTTTTCAAAAAAGTATTTTTTTTTTAAGTTGAAGTGTTTGGCCAAACTTTTAAACAAAAAAAATATATTTTTGAATAGAAGCAAAAACAGTTTTGAAGAATCAGAAAAAATTAGGTTCTCTCCGAAAGCACTTTTTTGAAAAGTACTTTTAAGAAAAATACACTTAAAAACACTATTTAAAAACTTGGCCAAACAATAATTGCTGCTTAGAAGAGCTTTTCAAATTAATTAACCAAACACAAATTGTTTCTCACCGAAAGTACTTTTGTAAAAAGCACTTTTGAAAAAAAAATATTTCTCAAAATAAGCTGATTTTTGAAACTTGGCTAAACATGCTATTATACTTTCTCTGTTTCAATTTATGTGAACTTATTTGATTGGGCACCGAGTTTAACAAATAAGAGAAGACTTTTGAACTTGTGGTGTAAAATGATGGATATATATTTGTGTGACTATAAATTATTGTCTAAAGGTAATTTGTTTCCAAATATGGAAAAGGGTCATTTTTGTGGCACAAATTTAGAAAGAAATATGTTCACATAAATAGAAACGGATGAGAGACTAATATTTTTGGCACTATTTCCGTGTCTTTTGTTTTTACATTTGCATGTATGCAATATTAAAAATATGCACTACAAAAGCTCTAAAATGATAGTGGATTGCTACGAAAGAAGCCAGCCAACTAACCAACCAACAACACCTATTGATCACAACCCCTACAAAATCATGGAAAAAAAAAATTATCGATCAGAATATTCAAAAGCCCTATCAACTTTACAAGCTTAATAGCTAGGCACTAGTTAATACCGAAGGTTCTTGCAGAATACACGGCGACTGCTCTAATTCAGTACTGTGTCTTCTTCAATTCTTTAAAAAGATAATTGATGGAACACAGCTTTTGACTTAAGTGGGTTCTTGCATAGGTATTGAGAATGTAGCTAAATATGGTGGAAATTTGTTGATACCCCCAACAAAGCTTATTCTATAATTGGATAGGTTACTGATCAAGACTTTGGCTTCCTTTTGGCAAGTCTAGAAAAAATTTGCTCCTCTGTTTTTATTTCACGCGTATTAATGAACTGAAGTGGCAGCAGAAGGGAACTCAGAAGGTATCGAAGGGAATACTTCAGAATTTGGTGGGTGCAATAACAGGCGCATAAGTACATGGAGAGTAACTTAGCTTCTTTATTCATGTTTTCCATAAAAAGTAATGAAGTCGTAGGGTTTTCTGTGTTTTACTGAGGTGTCTGATCATACCTGTTGAGGTTTTACAGGTACATCGTCACAGACTTGCACATGGGGCTTTGCAATGTCTGCTTCTCTTTTGCTATCGAAAAAATTTGCAGAAATTCATTGCCCCTCTTTTTTCTCTTTTAATTTCTTTTTGTTCCTTTAATTTTTTGTGGACGTAATTCCTTTTTCTTGTTTAATTTCTGAAAGCGCCTAATGTTAATGTGCTTGAAGTCACACGTGCTGTATAACTTTTTCATGTTTAATTTTTATACATTGATAATATAAAATGTCACATAAAGATAACTGTATCAGATGAAACTAGGGCTCACGCACACCCCGATTTCCTAGTGGGATAAACGAAGCAAGGGTATGAATACACGGGATCGAAGCCGAAGTTGGAAACTTGTTGTACAGAGGCCCGAACGGAATGCTCACCATCGAACCTGATAAGACAACACTTCTCGGACCTAGAACGAGCTCCAATACCTCGGAAAACATGGCAAATGGTTACACATCCGCACCCAACCAGATATCACGGCACAGATCTTGCCCGATGTCGGTAACAGATCAGTAATTAACAAGAAAGCAGGATTTTTACCTTTTTTTAGAAATGTACAAGAGATGAAACTCTCCTACTATATAAAGGGGAGACTTTTATTTCAATAGGACACGTTGTAACACACATATCAAGACAATACAAACTTATTTCTCTACTTTTCAGTTATTAAAAAGTTTTTATTTTATTGTTGTTATTCATAGACATTTGGCTTCGAACCAAGGGTCCGATCGAAGGCAAAATTAGCGCAAATCCGAGCCCGGATGTAATATAACAATTTGTTTGGTTATTCATTCTATATTTAACTCGTTTATCTAACATTGTCGATTATTTGTGTTGAATTAATTCACATATCCTTAAAACCGCGTATAAATTCTATTGTTATCCGTTTTAAGGTAAACAATAACAATCCATAATAAATGAAATTAGCTACTTGCAAAATAAAGTAGACAACGTGTACGACATATTAAATTATATAGTAGTGTAAAAAATTTTTACCTTGTTAATATGTATAAGTGAGCAGGCACAACCTGTTATGACAGATTGAATTACACAATAGTGTAATTTTTTTAACTTTTTAAAGTATAAGTTCAATAAAGCTTTATAGTTCATTAATGGCCCCGAGAATTTAGAAATGTAACGATAGGCGTCGACTTTAACTACTGAGATATCAACTATAGCGTTTCTGGGAAATAGAAAAAGAAACAAACCCCAGAAGATTTAAATTTAACTACAACTTTCGTATGCACGAGACTATTTTGTTCCAGCCCCTCTAATTTCTTATTGCTTAGTCCAGGATGATATTTTCTTACTTTTATGGGGAGCTGGATTCGACATGTGACGTCAGACATGGAGGTCAATGCGACTTGATGGTTGAAGATCCTGTAGGAATCCAAACTGAGATTTTCCAAATCCGAATTTGCTTCAAAGATATTGATTGTAATCGAAACTTGTAACGACCCGGCCGGTCGTTTTGAGAATTTAAGTCTCGTTCCGCGCCATAAGGCCCTGAGCAACTTCGTATTATGTGTATTGACTTGCGTGCATGGTTGAATTCAGTTACCAGATGATTCAGAGTGATTTGGAACACTTATTCCCTAAAACGGAAGTTTAAATCTTAGGATTTTGACCGTAGTTGGAACTGTGTGAAGACGACTCCGGAATGGAGTTTCGTCATTTCCGTTAGCTCTGTTGGGTGATTTTGGACTTAGGAGCGAGTCCGGACGGTGAATTTGAGGTATGTAGCTGATTTAGGCTTGAAATGGCAAAAGTCAAATTTTCGGAGATTTTGACCGGAAGTGGACTTTTTGATATCGGGGTCGGATTCCGATTCCGAAAGTTAAAATAGGTCCGTAATATTGAATATGACTTATGTGTAAAATTTTGGGACAATCGGGTGTGGTTTGATAGGTTTCGGTATCGGTTGTAGAAATTTGAAGTTTCAAGTTCACTAAGTTTGAATTGGAGAGTGATTCGTGTTTTTAGTGTTGTTTGACATGATTTCAGGGCTCGACTAAGTTCATATGGTAATTTAGGACTAGTAGGTACGTTTGGTTGAGGTCCCGGGGGCCTCAGGTATGTTTCGGATGCTTAACGGATTGAGTTTTGGACTTATGCAAATGCTGAAGCTATCTGTGTTATGGTATTTTCGCATATGCAGTGGGGAGACCGCAAGTACGGAATCGCAAGTGCGGAGAGGCAAGCGCAGAAGCGGAGAGGAGAGGAGTTGCCTGGGGTCGCATGTGCGAAGGAGGTGTCGTATCTGCGATGCCCGCAGAAGCTATCAACGACCCGCAAGAGCGGAAGGAGACCGCAAAAGCGGACATGGGTCCGCAAGTGCGCACACGCAAGTGCAACCCTTTGATCGCAGAAGCGGACGCTGAGTTTTAAGTGAAATCCGCACCTGCGATGGGAATTCCACAGGTGCGGTGACGCAGGTGCGATTCTTGGCCCGCAGGTACGAAATCGCTTGGCAGAAAAGGGCTAAGTGCGAGGGTTTGATTTCATTCTCCATTTTTGGACCTAGAGGGCTCGGATTGAGGCGAAATTTCGACGGATTTTTAGAGGAAGCTTATAGGTAACGATTCTTAACCCATTTATGATTATATATTACTAATCTATCACTAATTTCATCCTTTAAATTTCGAATTTGAGTGAAAAATTTGGGGAAAATGGGAAGAAGTTCTTCAACTAAGGTTTTGGTTTTGATTGAGATTTTAATATCGGATTTGGATAATTTTGGTACGAGTGAACTCGTGAGTGAATGGGTATTCATATTCGGTGACTTTTACCCGATTCCGAGATATGAGCCCGAGGAGATGTTTTGGGGCGATTTTCTAATTTCTTGCTTTAGCTTTGATTTCATTAATTAGATTAATTTCTTATAGTTGTATTTATGGTATGTAATTTATTTTGGCTAGCTTTGGGCCATTCGGAGTCCGATATTCGTGGAAGATATTGTTACCAATTGATTGAGATTGGTTCGAAGTAAGTATCTTACCTAACTTCGTGTGGGGGAACTACCCCTTAGGATTTGAGTCTTCTATGCTAATTGTAGTCCGTGTACGTGAGGTGACGAGTACGTGCTCGAACTTATTTGTAGAAAATTGGCCTTTTAGGGATTCTTAGGTCCTTGTATTCATTGAATATGCAGTTGTTCTCGTTATGATTACGTTTTTCTTAATTTCCAGTTACACATTTACCCGTTTTAATTGGAATTAGTTACTTCATGATCCACTCTTATTATTCAAGTGATTCAAATGTGCTTTAATTAAAATTATTATCTCTTCTATTGCCATGTTGTCTTATCCCTAACTGCTTATCTTTATTTAAAGTTATAATTATCTCTTCTGTAATTGTTCACCCTTAATTGAGACTATAATTATCTTTCCGCTGCTTATCCTTATTGAATTTATTGTGTCTCTTTCCTAATTGCCCAATCTTAAAAGAAGTTAGATATCATATAATTTAGTTGACTTGTCCTTATTTGGAATTATTCGACTTGTGTTAGCTCCCTCGTTGCCGAACTGTATATTGTGGACCCTTGTTACATACTATTTCCTTTCTTGTTGAGCTATTCTTATTATGACTAGCATTCTCTATTGAGGCTACTCCTTGTGAATTAGTTCCTCCGTTTCTTTGAGTTCTGGAATTTCTAGGTTAACTTATTGTCGTACCCTTGTATTATTGTCATTGTTACTGTTGTACTTATTGTGGTGATGTACGAGGTTTCTACCGTGCAGTTATTGTTATTGTGATGCACGAGGTTTCTGCCGTACTGTTGTTGTTATAGGGCTGCACGAGATTTCTGCCGTGCTATTGTTATTATTAATATTTGCACATGCGGCGTGACAAGGTGGGATATATATATGTGGGTTGCGCATGTGGCGAGATAAGGTGAGAATATTATTATGCACGTGTGGCAAGACAAGGCGGACATTTACTTTACTATTGCATACGTGGAGAGACAAGGTGGGTTATGTCAGGGATTGATTTGTGATGACTTGTGATGGCTTGGGGACATTCTTGTTGTTGATGTTTGTGTAGTGGTGCACTTACCTGTGAGCCTTATCTTGTGGAAAGTTGTGTGAAAATATTCTACGTGCTGTCCATTTCTTTTCTTATACTTACTAGCGGGCATGAACTATATTAGGACACTTGCACAAGTATACACGTAGTTGAGCACTCTTATCGGTTAAGAAGTTTTCTTGATATTATTGAGTATAGATGAACACCCTTGTTTACTTGCCTTCTATGTGAGAATTGCTCTATTTGGCACGTGAGTCGTCAGTGCGGTTATGAAGTGTAATGAGGGTACAGGATGCCAAGTATTAGGGTTCAGGTATTGGAACCCGTGAGTTGTGAATAATATGAGGTTTGGTACCTCGTGGATTTTATTGACTAAAACCTGTTGTGAAAGCTATCGTTTTGTTGAGTTATTACTTGTCCTTTCTTTATAAGTGATTATCGGATTTAGGTTGTGTTTCCGTTCGTTCTTCTATGTCATTATTATGGTGTTCCGCTGATAGTTGTTATTTTCCTTCCTTATTTCAAATTTTCGTACTATTTGCCACTTCGCGTAGTCTTTATGTAGATATTATACTCAATTGCTCCTATACTTATACTTGTTTACATTATTTAGTCCAGTAGGTGTCTTGACTGTTCCTCGTCATTACTCCACTGAGGCTAGTCTTGATACTTACTAGGTACCGCTGTGGTGTACTGATACTATACTTCTGCACATTTTTGTGCAGATCCAGGTATTTCAAAGTCAATTGATCATTAGCTAGTTGTGCGGACTGTTGCTATGGAGACTCAAGGTAAACCTGCTACTGCGTTCGCATGCTTGGGAGTCACCTTCTGATTTGTATTCATATTGTTACTTTATTTTAAACAGTTGTATTTAGAAAATTATAGCAAACTCTATAGAGCTTATGACTTGTACTATCGGTTTTGGAAAATATAAATTTTATAGAGGTTTCCATAAGATTGTTAGATATTATTTAATTATTGTTGTTATTTAATAAATATTAGGCTTACCTAGTCCCTAAAACTAGGTTCCATCACGATACCCAACATAGGTAAATTAGGTCGTGACAAGTTGGTATCAGAGCTCTAGGTTCATAGGTGTTACGAGTCATAAGCGAGTTTAGTAGAGTCTTGCGGATCGGTACGGAGACGTTTGTACTTATCTTCGAGAGGTTACGAAATTATTAGGATAGTTTCACTTCCTTCATTCTTATCGTGCGAGTTTATTGATCTCGAAGTTTGAAGCTTTTATCATTCCATTCTCTCATAGATAATGAGGACATGAGCTGCAGTTACTGATGACGCTGCCCCCGGAGCAGATGTCGCTAGGGGCAGAGGCAGAGGACAAAGAGGAGCACTCGCCGCAGCTAGAGCATCTACCCGAGCAGCAGTTGAGGAGCCGCCAGTAGCTCCGGTTTGGGGCAGGTATCGGAGGTTCCTGCTGTTACTCCCGAACTTCAGGAGACCTTAGCACAGTTCCTGAGCATGTTTAGTATATTGGCTGAAGCGGGATTGATTCCGATTGCACCAGCTACTTCACAGACCAGGAGAGGAACCAAGACTCCCGCTGCCCACACTCCAGAGCAGCGAGTTCATGTTGGTCAGGTTTCATGTGTCATGGTGACACAACCTGTGATCCCAGCTCAGCCAGTGGTTAGGACTGCAGTATTTGAGGAAGAATAGTTTAGACTTGAGAGGTACAAGAAGTACCACCCTCCTACCTTCAGTGGATTGGCGACAGATGAAGTCGTAGGGTTTTCTGTGTTTTACTGAGGTGTCTGATCATACCTGTTGAGGTTTTACAGGTACATCGTCACAGACTTGCACATGGGGCTTTGCAATGTCTGCTTCTCTTTTGCTATCGAAAAAATTNAGAAAACATTTGCAGAAATTCATTGCCCCTCTTTTTTCTCTTTTAATTTCTTTTTGTTCCTTTAATTTTTTGTGGACATAATTCCTTTTTCTTGTTTAATTTCTGAAAGCGCCTAATGTTAATGTGCTTGAAGTCACACGTGCTGTATAATTTTTTGATGTTTAATTTTTACACACTGATAATATAAAATGTCACATAAAAATAATTGTATCAGATGAAACCGAGGCTCACGTACACCCCGATTTCCTAGTGGGATAAACGAAGTAAGGGTATGAGTACACGAAATCGAAGCCGAAGTTGGGAACTTGTTGTACCGAGGCCCTAACGGAATGCTCACCATCGGACCTGATAAGACAATACTTTCCGGACCCAGAACGAGCTCCAATACCTCGGAAAACATGGCAAATGGTTACACATCCGCACCCAACCGGATATCACGGCGCATATTTCGCCCGATGTCGGTAACAGATCAGTAATTAACGAGAAAGCAGAATTTTTACCTTTTTTTAGAAATGTACAAGAGATGAAACTCTCCTACTATATAAAGGGGAGACTTTTATTTCAATAGGGCACGTTATAACACACATATCAAGGCAATACAAACTTATTTCTCTACTTTCTAGTTATTGAAAAGTTCTTATTTTATTGTTGTTATTCATAGACATTTGGCTTCGAACCAAGGGTCCGATCGAGGGCAAAATTAGCGCAAATCCGAGCCCGGACTTAACATAATAATTGGTTTGGTTATTCATTCTATATTTAACTCGTTTATCTAACATTGTCGATTATTTGTGTTAAATCAATCCACATATTTTTAAAATCGCGTATAAATTCTATTGTTATCCGTTTTAAAGTAAACAATAACGATCTATAATAAATGAAATTAGCTATTTGCAAAATAAAGTAGACAACCTGTACGACATATTAAATTATATAGTAGTGTAAAAAAAATTTACTTGGTTAATATGTATAAGTGAGCAGGCACAACCTGTTATGACAGATTGAATTACACAATAGTGTAATTTTTTATTGTGTAATTTTTTTAACTTTTTAAAGTATAAGTTCAATAAAGCTTTATAGTTCATTAATGGCCCCGAGAATTTAGAAATGTAACGATAGGCGTCGACTTAAACTACTGAGATATCAACTATCGCGTTTAACTACTGAAATATCAACTATAGCGTTTCTGGGAAATAGAAAAAGAAACAAACTCCAGAAGATTTAAATTTAACTACAACTTTCGTATGCACGAGACTATTTCGTTCCACCCCTCTAATTTCTTATTGCTTAGTCCAGGATGATATTTTCTTACTTTTATGGGGAGCTGGATTCGAGAAGTGACGTCAGACATGGAGGTCAATGCGACTTGATGGTTGAAGATCTTGTAGGAATCCAAACTGTGATTTTCCAAATCCGAATTTGCTTCAAAGATTTGATTGTAACTGAAACTTGTAACGATCCGCACGGTCGTTTTGAGAATTTAAGTCTTGTTCGGCGCCATAAGGACCTGAGCAGCTTCGTATTATGTATATTGACTTGCGTGCATGGTTGAATTCAGTTACCGGATGATTCAGAGTGATTTGGGACACTTAGTCCCTAAAACGGAAGCTTAAACCTTATGATTTTGACTGTAGTTGGAACTGTGTGAAGACGACTCCGGAATAGAGTTTTGTCGGTTCCGTTAGCTCTGTTGGGTGATTTTGGACTAAGTAGCGAGTGTGGACGGTGAATTTAAGGTATGTAGCTGATTTAGGCTTGAAATGGAAAAAGTCAAATTTTCGGAGATTTCGATCGGAAGTAGACTTTTTGATATCGAGGTCGGATTCGATTCCGGAAGTTGGAGTAGGTCCGTAATGTTGAATATGACTTGTGTGCAAAATTTGGGGTCAATCGGACGTGGTTTGATAGGTTTCGGCATCAGTTATAGAAATTTAAAGTTTCAAGTTCACTAAGTTTGAATTGGAGGGTGATTCATGTTTTTAGCGTTGTTTGACGTGATTTGAGGGCTCGACTAAGTCCGTATGGTGATTTAGGACTAGTTGGTAAGTTTTGTTGAGGTCCCAGGGGCCTTGGGTGTGTTTCGGATGCTTAATGGATTGAGTTTTGGACTTATGCAACTGCCGAAGCTATCTGAGTTCTGGTGTTTTCGCACCTGCGGTGGGGAGACCGCAAGTGCGGGATCGCAAGGGCGGAGAGGCAAGCGCAGAAGCGGAGAGGAGAGGAGTTGCCTGGGATCGCAGGTGCGAAGGAGGTGTCGCATCTACGATGCCCACAGAAGCGTGCAACGACCCGCAGAAGCGGACATGGGTCCGCAGGTGTGCACACGCAGGTGCGACCCTTTGATCGCAGAAGCGGACACTGAGTTTTAAGTGGAATCCGCACCTGCAATAAAAATTCCGCAGGTGCGATTCTTGGCCCGCAGGTGCGAAATCGCTGGGCAGAAAAGGGCTAAGTGCGAGGGTTTGATTTCATTCTCCATATTTGGACCTAGAGGGCTCGGATTGAGACAAAATTTCGAGGGATTTTCAGAGGAAGCTTGTGGGTAATGATTCATAACCCATTTATGGTTATATTCCACTAATATATCACTAATTTCATCTTTTAAATTTCGAATTTGGGTGAAAAATTTAGGAAAAATGGGAAAAAGTTCTTCAACTAAGGTTTTTGTTTTGATTCAGATTTTGATATCAGATTTGGATAATTTTGGTACGAGTGAACTCGTGAGTGAATGGGTGTTCATATTTTGTGACTTTTACCCGATTTCGAGACGTGAGCCCGAGGAGATGTTTTGGGACGATTTTCTAATTTCTTGCTTTAGCTTTGATTTCATTAATTAGATTAATTTCTTATAGTTGTATTTATGGTATGTAATTGATTTTGGCTAGATTTGGACCATTCGGAGTCGGATATTCGTGGAAGGCATTGTTACCGATTGATTGAGATTGGTTCGAAGTAAGTATCTTGTCTAACTTCGTGTGGGGGAACTACCCCTTAGGATTTGAGTCTTTTATGCTAATTGTATTCTGTGTACGCGAGGTGACGAGTACGTGCTCGGACTTATTTGTCGGAAATTGGCCTTTTAGGGATTCTTAGGTCCTTGTATTCACTAAATATGCAGTTGTTCTCGTTATGATTACGTTTTTCTTAATTTCCAGTTTCACGTTTATCTGCTTTAATTGGAATTAATTGCTTCATAATCCACTCTTGTTGTTCAAGTGATTCATATGTGCTTTAACTGAAATTGTTATCTCTTCTATTGCCATGTTGTCTTTTCCCTAACAGCTTATCTTTATTTAAATTTATAATTATCTCTCCTGTAATTGTTCACCCTTAATTGAGGCTATGATTATCTTTCCGCTGCTTATCCTTATTGTATCTCTTTCCTAATTGCCCAACCTTAAAAGAAGTTAGATATCATATAATTTAGTTGACTTGTCCTTATTTGGAATTATTCGACTTGTGTTAGCTCCCTCATTGCCGAACTGTATATTGTGGACCCTTGTCACATAGTATTTTCTTTCTTGTTGAGCTATTCTTATTATGACTAGCATTCTCTATTGAGGCTACTCCTTGTGAATTAGTTCCTCCGTTTCTTTGAGTTCTAGAATTTCTAGGTTAACTTATTGTCGTACCCTTGTATTATTGTCATTGTTGTTGTTGTACTTATTGTGGTGATGCACGAGGTTTTTGCCGTGCAGTTATTGTTATTGTGATGCATGAGGTTTCTACCGTGCGGTTGTTATTATGGGGCTGCACGAGATTTCTGCCGTGTTATTGTTACTATTGATATTTGCACATGCGGCGTGACAAGGCGGGATATATATATTTGGGTTGCGCATGCGGCGAGACAAGGTGGAAACATTTTTATGCACGTGTGGCGAGACAAGGCGGACATTTACTTTACTATTGCACACGTGGAGAGACAAGGTGGGTTATGTCAGGGATTGATTTGTGATAACTTGTGATGGCCTGGGGGCATTCTTGTTGTTGATATTTGTATAGTGGTGCACTTACCTATGTGAGCCTTATCTCGTAGAAAGTTGTGTGAAAATATTCTACGTGCTGTCCATTTCTTTTCCTGTACTTACTAGCGGGCATGAACTATATTAGGACACTTGCACAAGAATATACGTAGTTGAGCACTCTTATCGGTTAAGAAGTTTTCTTGATATTGTTGAGTATAGATGAACACCCTTGTTTACTTGCCTTCTATGTGAGAATTGCTCTATTTGGCACGTGAGTCGTCAATGCAGTTATGAAGTGTAATGAGGGCACAGGATGCCAAGTGTTAGGGTTCAGGTATTGGAACCCGTGAGTTGTGAATAATATGAGGTTTGGTATCTCGTGGAGTTTATTGACTAAAACCTGTTGTGAAAGCTATCGTTTTGTAGAGTTGTTACTTGTCCTTTCTTTATAAGTGATCATCGGATTTAGACTGCATTTTCGTTTATTCTTCTATGTCATTATTATGGTGTTCCGCTGATAGTTGTTGTTTTCCTTCCTTATTTCAAATTTTCGTATTATTTGCCACTTCGCGTAGTCTTTATGTAGATATCATACTCAATTGCTCCTATACTTATACTTATTCACGTTATTTAGTCCAGTAGGTGTCTTGACTGTTCCTCGTCAATAATCCACTGAGACTAGCCTTGATACTTGCTGGGTACCGTCGTGGTGTACTCATACTACATTTCTGCACATTTTTGTGCAGATCCAGGTATTTTGAAGTCAGTTGATCATTAGATAGTTGTGCAGACTATTGCTGTGGAGACTCAAGGTAAATCTGCTACTGTGTTCGCAGGCTTCGGAG